GCTCAGGTCTCTGCTACTGTTTTGTACTATTCTGTAGGTCAAAAGCTGAAAAGTTTGGGAATCTATGGGTCATGAAGCACCTTGGATAATCTCCAGAAATCAATTTAAAGGGTAATAAAATAATTGCTGATGTAATATTTTCCCTATAATTATTACAAAAACACAAAATAAGTATAAATAAGTATTTATATTTGTGTACAAGCTGTTGAGATTGTCAAAAAACCTGTGTTTTTAGGGTTATTAACCAAGTTCATGTACTCAGACCAGTAATATTTGGGGTCACAAGTTTTTGCCATGGATATTTTATGGGTCAGAAGATAAAAAGTTTGGGAACCACTGGGTTAGGCTGCCTTTGACCAATGTCACATTGTACTCACTGTTTAAAATGACCTCATGGCCACACATGAGGATAATGAGGAAATAAAACACCTGACCATAGAACAGCTGAGTTTGTCAATATCTCAATATATGGGCCTGACTGTACACATTTATTTAATGAAATTTATTATTATCTATGAGATAATAAAATATAACAATTACAAAACCATAACAATGTAAGAAAATAATTGCTGGTTTGAACAAATCAACTTCCAAAGCAAATTTTATCATCTTAAATCAACTCTATAGTTTTAAACATTTAGAGCAGTTCATACAAACACTAATAATTATAGAAACCTGCTGAGAGTTTCATGTGACACGATCAGAAACACTTCAGGAACTTTCCCAAACCCAAAAAGTTACATATGGCTGCTGTTTTTTATTCTAACTCTAAGTTTAAATAACTTTAGAACTTCATGAAACTATTGCTGCGATGCAAAACTGACAGCAGCATAAAAGTCTACAAAACAGTGTTTAGTTAGTGGACAAAAACAGGAACAAGAATTCAGCTAAATGTCTTTATTTGGTTTCAGACTTGTTGGAAAATGACCTGAAAAAAGCAGAAAGCAGTTCACACATTTTGGTAAAACAGTTTGCTGTCACACAGAAATCCACAGGAAGGAGTTTGAGATGTGAAAATGTTAATCACCACAAACATTTCTTTCAGTTATACCTCAGTTTAAACAAATGCAACTCAATAAATTAAATAATCAGACCTTGGACACTTAACCACTTTAATATAAATGTGAAAAAATGAGTTTAAACCATAAAGTTTGGTTGAAGGAGAAATAACCCAGTCAGAGAATATGTTGCCACATTACATGAAACCACAATCACACACTGGTTTACTTTTTTAAACTTTTGAATTCATTTTCAGCAGTAGAATTACTGAGGAACAGAAAAATACTTTTATAAAACAGATTTAGTTGCAGATTTTAGAAATGGAAACACATCCTTTCCCTCCTTTTTCTCAGACACAGCAAAGCTATCTGAAGCACGAATAACAGCAAAACAAAACACTTGGTTATGATTAAAATTGGTTTTGTGATAAATACTGAACAGGCTCCTGAGAAATAGTCATTCTGAGGCATAAACATAAATATAAATACAAATCGTAAATTGGCAACAAAATTCTTGAGACTGGTTTTTACTGAGAGGTTTGGCATCTTAAGAGGAGTATTAAAAAAGAAAAATAACGACGGTTTCAACAACAAATATTAAAGGGATAATCTGGTGATTTTTTGATAGTAATTATTGATAGTATACCCAGCTGTGACATCAGAGTATGGAGAAAAGGACAGGTGTCTCATCCAGGCTACGCTACTGGCTATAACCAAACGTTTTAGTAATATTTTTTTCCTCTGGCTCATAAATTAGCTGTTTTTAAACTGTGTGAAAGAACAATAGCTAATAATAAACCTCTACACTTTCTCACTGACCTTACATTAACTTGCTGTAAATCAGTATTTTGTGATGCGTTGTGATCTTGAAACCTTCTTGCCTATTTTAAATAGTCTAAAGTGTTCTTATCTACCTGTGTTTCAGTTCTGCAGTCGTTCTGACATCCATCACCATGACTTGTTAAAGACATTTAGCTGCGATAAGGTAAAATACCAGTAACATTAAATTAAAATGTATTTAATAGAATAGGATGTCTGCTTTTTCACATTAGTAACTTTGTTTTGTTTGTGACTGTTTTCTCATGTATATTCACACAGATGTTGTTCAGTTGGGAAAACGGCAACAAACTGAACTAAATTAATATTTGCCAATGTAGTGTTTTTTCACGCTGATGTGTCATTGTTGGAAAAAAAACGTTTTATAACCCCGAAAAATAATAAACAGGCCTTCATTTGGCTAGCCGCTAGCCTAGCTTTGTAAGACTTCTAAGACATCTGCCCTGGTGTACTCCATGATGTCATGGCTGATGTGGTACTGACTGATAACTATCAACATCCCTTTAAACTCACCAAACTATCCCTTTAAAAAGTCGCTTTGAACACAAGTGTAGACCGAAATCAAAATTCAACCAAGTGAAAGTTGTTGTTTTTATAAACTGGCTGTGGTAAAAAGAATAAAACATGAATAAATTGTTAAAAAGCTGTAAGAACTGGTGGAGGATCACATCTGAGTTACGCCCTCCTACCACATGTATTCAGTCTTGTTAAAGCTAATAAAATCCTAGGTGTTTGTGTGTGAATGTGTAGGTACATTTTTATTGACACAAACACATTTGTTTCACTATATAAATGTTTACATGTAAATATAAAAAGAAATGCGTTGTAAAAACCTTAAAAGTCACAGACCTTTTTCACATTTCTCAACAGAAAAGGAGTAAAATATCCTGAGCTCGTGTCTGTGTTAAATCAAAAATGTTCGTTTTTACTTCAGACAGAGAACTAAAATGTTAATGGATACAGACGGTGGGCTGAGAATTCAAAATAAAAATAGTTTTTCAATAATAAAAAGAGGGGAAATAATATGAAAGAGTGAATAAATGTCCAATCTTCACAAAATAAAATTTGGGCTTTTGTCACATTTCAAGCAGATTTGAGCAGATTTGTACAGGTAAGATTAAACTTCAGGAATGTGAAATTAATAATCATTAATACAATAACAATTTGTTTCATTTTAAAGTTCAAAGGTAATCAAATCAAGATTTATTCTCTTCTCTTTGAAGAGTTTCATTCTGACCAAACAGCTCGCCCACGACAGCAAAACAAAAGTGGATAGCTGCTGTAATAAAACGGCTCCAATTTAAAAAAATATTTTTACAGTTCATGCATTTGATATTTTACAAAACTTCATGCTTCTGTCTGTTTTACATGACAGGATTTTTCCAACATAAATGTGATGTTACTGCAGGAAGTTTCTGGAGCTGCTCCAACAGCAGCTGCTGGTTTTTAGACTTGAAAAGAACCAGATTCAAAGTTAAAACCCTGCAATATAAAACTGATTGAAATGTAAAAGTTTATAAAATAACATTTGCATGAACCCCTACAAAATGTTTGATAAAAGAGTTGGTATAAAAAAGTGAAAAAGGTCTGTAGACTCTGTTAAAAACCTGTAAAATCATGTTTTTTTCCATTAATAAAAGACCAAGGACAGGGCTGTGCAACCATTTAAAGCTTTAAGAAGTGGACACACCAGGTAAGTAAAGATGTATAAAAGTATTTGATCTCTGTGGTATTTGCTGCCAGTTTCTACTTTTCTATCTTTTTTCTACCTTTTTGTATTTTTTTTTAATTTTCTTCTAACACATGGCTCTTTGTAGCAAAATGTGTTTGGTTTTAAAAGCACTCAAATTTCCCATCTTTGACAAAAACCATCACCGCTCAAAGGCCATCATATAATAATCCTACCAGTCATTTTCAAAACAAATTTAAACATGTCAATTAAAACAACAGCAATAATTATTATTCGTCAAATCTAATTATAGTAAAAACAGTGAGGACAGAAAACTCAAAAGTTCAAATCCAAGCATTCTTTGTGGCGACAAAAAGAAGCAACAAGTTCTTTTCATTTTAACTACTTTCACTACAGTTTAAGACTACAAACACTGAGTTTTTGGGTTTCCTACATTAAACTCACTTTTTGGTTTCACATTGGTTTGACAGCTGTTTGAAATGAATCAGAGGAGAAATGTCCTGCTTCAACCCTGAACACAGTAAACCCTGAGGGCTCGAGCTGATAATGCTGGGCTGGTGGACCAAAACCAGAAGTCATGACAAAATATTTAGGAGTTTTATTATATCTATTTTCATTTTTTTTTGTATTTTACAGTTAGAACCTCGGCTCATCTCTCTAAAAGGCCTCATTCACAATGCACTAAATATTTTTAAAATGTAAATTTTCTGGGACGTTTACACCTTCTTGTCCACAAACAGTTTTTGGTAAGAAAAGAAAAGCAGATTATTTTTGAAAAATGCTTTCCAAAGCAGAGACTTTTAAAAACTCTGGATATTTGTTACTTTTTGGTGAAGTTGTATGGACTTGTACTGATCTTGTCACAGTTAAACTTTAAAAGATGGTTAATAAATGAGAGGAAACAATAAAACAGTATAATTTGCTAAATTGTTTTGTGAAAAACAACGAGTTTTTGAAATGTTAATGTTGCACATTATCGCCATCTAATGGTGAGGTGAGGGTATTTCAGCCTTTTTGTTATAAAAGTGTAAAACAAAAACAAAACCAGTAAAAAATGTATTAATGTAGGCAGGGTCTTTTATTATTTTCATAAAAATACTCTGCGTCTAAAAACTGTTTCCCCACCTGGCCCACGTTTAGTGGATCCACTGCTTTTTGACCTCGTCTATGTTTTTTTTTACATGAAACATTTGTGCCATTTTTGTCTTTTTCACTAGAGTAATTTTGTATTTTTGGTTATATTTAATTTGGCTAAAACTAAACAGTTTTTTATTTTTTTGGAAGAAAACAAAACCAAAATTAAAGTGTTTTAGTCCATCTGTCCGTCCGTTCGTTTTCTGCCATGGTACTCATTAATTGTGGAATACCACAAGCATGTAAGAAACTAATGTTACAGCTCATTCTTACAGTTTTTGCCCTCAGGGTTTATCTAGTTCACATATACACATGCCATTCTTTTTCTTTTTCTTTTTATGTGCTTTGGTTATGAGGAAGCATCAAGGTAAAGGGTATGAGTGTTAAACATTTTACAGTCTTTTTGGTTAAACACTTCTTCAAAACAGCTAAATATTTGGCAAAAATTCAACTAATATAAAACAACAGCACACGTCCATTAGTGCTGACATAAGTCTTTCAAAATATCTGACCTCTTCATTTGGTCACTCTTTAAAAGTTGAACATTTGAATCGTTAAAATAAAGAGGTCCGTGTTGGTGGGGTGCACCTAATGACTTTCAAAATAAAAGTTTCAAAAATATTCTTTACAGAAAAATGTTATGAAATCATAATCATAATTCTTTTGGTTTAGGTTCAGTTAAAGCACTTCACATACAGGTGACCCCTTTCCAATAGGAACTGTCCAAAACTGAACATAAATGTATGTATTTGAAGGAAAACTCAACGAAACATAAAGAAAACCAATAAATGTTTACATCTTTGGGTACCATTTCGCTTGGTTTTCATAGAAGAACTTTTTGGAAAGGCTGACATGGTGAAAGACGATCTTTGTTCATGTACAAAAAAAATATCGTCATAAAGCTTCTTCAGCTGCCAGCTCAATCAGGGTCCCAGAAAAGCCAGTGTGGAGAAGTCATTTCCAGGTATTGATGCAAGCAACCTTTTGGTTTAACCTTCATATGCATCAGGTTTGTGCAGATGAAATAAAAACATTGGATGGCTGGGTTCCATTTTTGATCACTCCGTGGTCCGTGTTTTCCATGACCGCCATCATTTGCAATTAAATGTCTTATGATGGACAAGTGGGAACTTGAAAGGACATCCACATAAAAGAGCAAGAGGAAAAAGTGGAGGCACCAATACCTGCTTGAGATCTCTGACGTCACTCAGAAAAGTAGAACGTTTCAACCCAGAAATGCCTTCTGAGGGAAACTCAGGATGTCCTGGGTCGAACGGGGTGTTGTAAAGCTCGTGTCCACCAATGGTGGAAGAAAACTTGGGGTTTTCGCACACTTAGAATCCAGCGCAGTTTGCTTTCAGTGGTGGTCGTCGGGTTAGTCTCTCTGGATGAAGCTGGCACGGTAAAATGACTGGCATTGGTCAAGATGTTACTAAATGGACGCTTGGGCTTTTTTTGTCATCATTGAGTAGGCTAACTGAAGCAGCGTTATGAAGTCAAAGAGATACTCTGGTCATTTTTAAAGTGATGTTGTGTAAATGTAACAGTTTGTACCTTATCAGCTATAATATAAGTCACGGACTATAGATAAAAGAGCATTAGGTTTTATCAGGCTAGGCTAATGGCTACCCAAACCAGGACTTGTTTTAAACGGTTTTTCAGACTCATCCACAACTTTTTCTCTGACAGGGTTGGGTATCGTTAGAATTTGAAAAATTCCAGTTCCTTGTTTGGATTCGGACGTTCCCATTATTCCCAATTTCGATTCTTTTTAGAGGCGTGGTCAAAAACGTTTACATGGTTTAAATGAGATAGTAGAGTTCTTTCTAGATGAACAGATGCTGTGCTTTTATTTCCACACAGGTGTACTCTGCAAAACTTGTCCATCTAACCAAATCGTACACTTATTTCTAGCCAACGAGTATTTTTGATCTTGTTTTGAGATGATAAACTAAGTAAGAGCAGAATGTGTTTGATTAATAATCTTGTTAGCCTGGAAATGTTTTCCTCGTTTCAAGTCTTAAGTGCAATTGTCTTAATTTGACAATTTGAGTCTGAACACCAATTTAAATTGGTGTTTGGCAGCTCACATGTTTTTTTTTTCCTTTGTTAGCATTGGACGGCTTCTTCCAGTTGGCGGACTGGGTTTTAAAACTAGGTATCGAAATTTAAAAGTACAAACGATTCTGGGAGAATTTAAATGTTAGTCCCAGTTTCAGTCAATACTCGAGACTCGATGCCTAGCACTAGGTATGAATGAAGGCTACATTAGCTAATATTAAACCTCTACTCTCTTGTAGGGCCATACGTGTTTGGTTTGTCATTATTTTCTCAACCAAACACCAGTGTTACTTAGCAAATATCAGTCTCCTGAGGCTGCTGAATGTAACAGCAACACTTTAATAGTGTCACGTTAAAGTGTTAAAGCAGAGGTTTATCGTTAACCACTGTAGCATTCATTCTCATGAGTATTCTGTTTTGGAGAAAAAGTTGTTTTAGAAGCCTTAAAAAAGTACATAAAACAGATTGTTGTTTGATTAGCCATTAGCTGTTAGCCGTTAGCCTGGCCAGAATGAAGACTTCTGCCTCTTTTTTCGCACATCGTGTTGTGTGACTGATGTGACGACTAACAAGGTATTAACAATGGACAACTCTTACATCACTTCAAAAATGGACTATTCTTTTAACATGAACCTGAGTTATTGCTCAGACATTGCTGTCAGGCTGAGGTAGTTTTCTTTGGAGATAGGCAGCTTTTGGGTTAAAAAAACTTTTGTACTTTGTTTTTCAAAATGGCTTTTTAAAGCAGTAAACCATAGTTTCCATTGAGGGTTGATGGTTTTACAAAAGCCCCCTTTTTTCTTGTTCTTTTGTTTTTGTTTTGTGTTAAGGCAAAGCTGTCATTGCAGCTTTGAGGTAAAGTCTTATTCATGCAGTAATTTTTGGTTTTAGTTTGTGTTTTTAGACCAAGGTACACATCTTCATATGTCAGTTTTTCAGTGGGGACCTGAAGGGTACAGCATTTTGGTTAAGAAACAGACCCCAGTCAAAAACTGACATATCAGATGGGGTACGCTAAATAATCCTGCGAGTCCTAAACTGGAGAAGCACTGAAGACTTTTTTTTTTCCACATATACATGTGAAAGTGCACAGGCAACAGAGGCAATGGGCTTTGGTCTGAGGTAGAGGCAGAGGATGTGTGTGGTGTTTTGGGGGCGTCACAGACCAGGAGGCCTCCCTAGTCTGTGTCTACAAATCTACATTCAGATAAATAGCAGCAGGTTTGGAGAGAACAGCTCATTTGCTGAAGTGTTTGAGTTTACGAGGCGTTGGTCAGAGTGTTGGAGGGGAGGAACGGGGATGTGTGCGGAGACAGAACGTTGACCAATGTCAGCCAGTTCCCGTGCCAGCAAAACCTGAGGGATGCTGCTCTATGATGACCTGGCAATGTGTCGGACAGACCACCTGCTGACAGAAAGAAAAAACAGAAGGTAAATGGATCAGATCAAACATTTTAGACTGAGTTTGACAATTAAAGGGCTCGACACACGGGAGGCGATGTCGCTCGCTCTCCATTCATTTCCTATGGAGTCTGTGCGGTGAGGCGACAATCGCTTGCCCTCCTCCAGCTAAGCGACCGGTGAAAATAGTGCATGTGAAATTGCACGCTCGTACACGTAGACGTGCACACGCAAGCTTGCGACGCGACATATGAAAGTTGAAAAATGTTCAACTTTTGTCACTGTCGCTTAGCGTACAACCAATCAGCGAGGGTTTCACTGACTGACCAATGAGCAGAGAGTATGCTACACACTGCAGTTAGCTAACACTTTCACCAAGTGATTACTAAAAAGCTTTGTGGGAATTTATTGGCACCAGGGTGACGTTTATGGTACGTTTTTCCTCATAAAACTGTATCTTGATGTGCGTTTGTTTTTCAATATCATTAGCATCGCAAGATTTGTTTAGTTTACACGTCCGTAATGCACACCTGCCTTCAGAGTCAAGAACCAATCAAATTTTGTGAAAACAAGCGACCTGAGAGCGCGATTCGCAACGCTGCGATCGCTATCGCGTCCCGTGTGTCGGGTTTCACCCTGGCTGCGATGACAGCCGTTAATCGCTGTAGTTTGTCGCTCCCCGTGTGTCGAGCCCTGAACAGTTTTTGTTCTGAATCTGGAATTACACTGTTTACAAACTCACACATCCAGACTTTAACCCTGATTATCCTTTAACTTCATGATAACAATTGTTCCAGGAGAAAAACAGATACATAACTGTTATAAATACTATTTGTTAATAATTTTGTCCACCATAAACAGAGTTGTAAAGTAACTAAGTACAAATACTTTGTTACTGTACTTAAGTATAATTTTTGGGTATCTGTACTTTATTTGAGTAATTATTTTTCAGCCTACTTGTTACTTATTTTCACACAATTATCTGTACTTTCTATTCCTTGCATTTTTAAAAGAGGCAAGAAGTATAAATATGTAAAACTCTGATACTGTATTAGATTGTACACAAACTAATCAGGTCACACTCCAGCAAGACACAGCAAACATGTAGCCTAGTACAAAGATGCATATGGCATCATTTAATATAAATACACACATCTCAGAGTTGCCCAGAGTGGGGCCCGTGGGCCAAAACTGGCCCACCAAGCCATTTGATTTGGCCCACCAGCAGTTGCAATGGTTAATAGGTTATAATCTGTCGTCCTATGTAGAAACACAGTATTTCCAACTAAAGTCATCCCATTCATTGGCCCAGTGACTATATAAGGGGCTGTATAGCAGTTAGTCAAAAACATGCATCCTAAATTTAACATAAATTAATTATTTTAATAAAACAGTCATTTCTGCATGTTTTGGGGAGAGTTCACCTCCTAATAAATGTCCTTACAGAAAATCGAACGGCTCATCTTAAATCAATACTTTTACTTATAATACTTAAGTACAAAAAATATCAGATACTTCAAGACTTTTACTCAAGTAATATTCCTAAAGGAGACTTTAACTTTTACCGATGTAATTTTTTGGTAAGATACTTGTACTTTTACTCAAGTATCACTTTGTGGTACTTTATACAACACTGACCATAAACTAGTCAATCTTTTAAAGGCATCTCAGCTTGAACTGAACAATTTTACTATCTTATGAAATTTTTTGAAAAAAATAAAGTAATTTCCCCCCTTTAAGATGCACAAATAGATTATTTGACGTTCTTTAAAAAAAATTCCAGTTCTGATATTTTAGAAGACCACTCACCAACCTGTCACATGGTCTGTTCTCAGTCAAGCCTTTTTAACTTAATGTCTTTAATCTTACTTTATCCTAAAGCTTTACTCATGCACGTTTTTAAAAATATTATTTAACTTATTCTGAACCGGACAGACCAGGCTGTGCCAGTATTGTTTTTGGTCAAACCAGTACAAGTCATCTGCTCGATTGTGATTCTGGATCGACTATTTTGTATGTTTTACTCGTGCACAACACAAATGTCTTTCTGCTCTTTACATCCAACCTGAAGCAGTTTTTATCAGATGAGATGAGAGACCAGGCTCAACGGCAGCTTGCAGCAACCAAAACAAATGCCTGGCAGTATCCCAGGACCCGCCAAATGTGACGGTGAAAAAAAGAAGAGGAAAAAAAAATCATTTTAGAAAAGAATGAATTAATTTATGTTATAAATATGGGCTGAGAACACGGGAAAAAGTATTGAACACATGAAGAAAGGGAGGTGTAAAAAGGCATGGAAAGACAAGACACCAGCTGAACTCTCTCAGTAATTAGAAAGCAAGCCTGCCCCTTGTCAGTGCAAGTTAATATCAGCTGGTTCAGTCCCAAATGATGGCCAGGTATCACACAAGAACCATCTGATGATGGGTAAAAGTAAAGAGCTCTCTCAAGACCTTCACAACCTTATTGTTGCAAAGCATAATGATGGCATCGGTTACAGAAGAATGTCTAAACTTCTGAAGGTTCCAGTGAGCACTGTTGGGGCCATAATTCAGAAGTGGAAAGAACATTATTTCACCATAAACCGACCACGACCAGGTGCTCCTCGCAAGATTTCTGACAGAGGAGTGAAAAGAATTATCAGAAGAGTTGTCCAAGAGCCAAGGACCACTTGTGGAGAGCTTCAGAAAGACCTGGAATTAGCAGGTACGTTTGTTTCAAAGAAAACAATAAGTAATGCACTGAACCACCATGGCCTGTATGCACGCTCACCACGCAAGACTCCACTGCTGAAGAAACAGCATGTTGAAGCTCCTTTAAAGTTTGCTGCACAACATTTAAACAAGCCTGTGTAATACTGGGAGAATATAGTCTGGTCAGATGAGACCAACATTGAACTGTTTGGATGCCAGAATACACATCATGTTTGGAGGTCAAATGGCACTGCACATCAGCCCAAAAACACCATACCAACAGTGAAGTTTGGAGGTGGGAACATCATGGTGTGGGGCTGTTTTCAGCATATGGTACTGGCAAACTTCAAATAATTGAAGGAAGGACGAGTGGAAAAATGTACAGAGACATTCTTGATAAAAATCTGCTTCCATCTACCAGGATGATGAAGATGAAACGTGGCTGGACATTTCAGCAAGACAATGAGCCCAAACACAAAGCCAAGGAAACTCTCAGTTGGTTTCAGAGAAAGAAACTAAAGCTGCTGGAATGGCCCAGCCAATCACCTGACCTGAATCCAACAGAAAATCTATGGAAAGAACTAAAGATCAGAGTTCATAGAAGYGGTCCACGAAACCTTCAAGATTTGAAGACTGTTTGTGTGGAAGAATGGGCCAAAATCACACCTGAGCAATGCATGCCACTAGTTTCTCCATACAGGAGGCGTCTTGAAGCTGTCATAGACAACAAAGGCTTTTGTACAAAGTATTAGATAAATTTCAGTAAGTGTGTTCAATACTTTTTCCCTGTGCCATTCCACATTATTACAAATAACTTCATTTCTGGACATTTATGGTTTGATTTCTTTGTATGTATGGATCACTTGGGTTGTTACCAACATCTGATGAAAATTTCATGTCATTAGCACCTCTAGTAATATATTTACTGAGAAAAATGGTGACGTGTTCAATACTTATTTTACCCGCTGTAACTGCGTAGCCTTTTTTCTATACTAAACCTTCTGAGGGTTAAATATAAATCAAACTTGTCACTCAGTTGTACCTATGAGGATGGTACCTTGAATAATGGTGCATCTTTTGGTACTTTATGGAGCAAAAGTACCACAGAAAATACTTAAAAATGAAATATATTGTTCAGAGCAGTGATGTAGAAGAAATTACCGGGGCCTCAGACTCCAGCCTCGGCTGGTTCACTCCTTCTTTAGTGATGTTGTTGTGACCTGCATGGATTCTTGGTACAGGCCAGCTGTCCTGAGTCCCTTTACTGCAGAACAGACTGGAAGCAAAGAAACACATTTTATATCATAATACCACAGCTGAACAGTTTATAACACTGATAAGAAATGTTGTAACATTGTTGCTAATTACAAGAGTTTTTAACAAATCGTATTTCAGTCCTGACAGTACTGACCATTGGTATAAACGTTAAATTAATTGATTATTGATTTATTTGAACTCTTTTTTTCCTGGGTTGTTTGATTATAGAACAAATAACTTTTATGTGTTTTTAAAAACAAGTTTGAATTAAATGAGAATATTCTCTAATCCACCTATAGGCTCAAATACACATTCACCTAAATCTATAAGGTTCTATTTTAACCTGACGAGTTAATGGTCTATTAGTCTCTTGTTAGTGATTATTGTTGACTGCAGCTGGTGATTTGTCTTTGTTAGCATCAAAAGGAGTTGTTTTACAACACTTATTGAACTCATAGCGATGGGAAACTCAATAAAGATTCAGGAGGAAGAATTATAGAATCAGTGATGTTGGGAAAGTCGTTCCTTAACTTTGATTTCCAGGATAATTAGTTTAAATAATTGTTCAACTGAGAATGTGCCGATCAAGAAATAAAGCCCTGCTCCAGAGGAGACACCCTTAAACTGGACTGAACTTTGCAGCTGTCCACATGGACAAACCTCTCAGATGAGATAAAAATGACTTATTTGACCACAAGAGGTTTGTTCGGAGGAATGACGTTTTCAAGCTTTGGAGAACTACTCTAACTGTCAAGCATGGCGGTGGTAGCACCATGCTGTGGTCTATTATCAGATAAATTACTAAAACTTGGACACAGTTGGGTGTTCCAACAGAAAAATAATAAACCAACCAGTTGTTGGATACAACGGATGGATACTTATTGATGGATACAAAAAGTCTGTGAACGAGGCGCAACCTGCTGCAGAACATATAATCAAATACGAAGAGACGTCTATGTGAGCCTGTTTGTGCAGTTATACAAATATATTTCTACAGATATGAAAAATTCAACATCGTGCACCTGTTTTCATTTTATAAACTACTGTAGGTGTATGTTTTACAGCCATTCTACAGCGAGAAAAAAGTCAATCGTCAGTTTACTGAGACTGATGTCCATAACAGGGGTGGAGCCAGAGGCACATCCAAATGATTTAGTGGGTGGGGTTTGCATGTGGCATTTTAAAGACGTGCTTTAAATTACATTTATTGCAAGCTGGGTGTGTCATGAGGATTTCTCTTGGCTACTTCCACACCAAATTTCAGCTCAGTATTTCTAAAAATGGCTAGAAATTGGCTTTGGCAGCCATCTTGGATTTTGTATTTGAAATACATATTTTGTAAAAAATTGTTTCTTGGCTACTACTTTGTTAATTTTTAACTAGGTGCATTTGAAAATGGCTAAATAATAGCCCTTTGAGAAATTAGCATTAGCAGTTATCTTAGCTACAATGACACACAAAATTTCAGCTTCATATTTCTTAAAATGGCTAAATTAGAGCCATTTGAAGCTAGGTGTGGAGGCCATCTTGAATTTTTAAACTCAGAGTAGTTTTATTTGTTAGTATGTGCCCCCCCAAAAAACCACCATGCCCCCCTGAGTCACTCCATGTCAAAATGTCTGGCTCCGCCCCTGGTCCATAAAGCGTGAATAAAAACGACATCAAACACGTTTTGTAAATAAGCTCTTACCTGCGACGGTAGCCAAACATGAGGAAGAGGACACAGAAGATGATGCAGGCAGTGCCGATGTGAATCCCAATCACAACGCTGCCCAGAGAGGCCTCTCCATCCTTGCACTGACACAGACTGTTTCCTCCTTCAAAACGAACACAACACATGATTTAATTCATGCTTGTACAGGGAACCATCAATGTATTAAAATGTTTTCTAAAATGATTCTTATCTCATAAATCAACTTCAATATTTAGGATATTGTTCAGCGTTAAATTCAACTCGCTCCTAGAATATAATCTTTTCTGATTTTGTATAACGTGATTCTGGAAATTCCTTAGAAAGACATTTATTAAAATTAAATGTTCCAGTATTCCCTTGCTAGCACAAAGTTCCCACCAAAAGCTGTTCAAAGTACAGAACGCACTCACTCACCTGAGATTTGTTCACTCGTGCTCTGATCTGCCAGTGACACGAGCCTTTTAGAACAGTCACTTTCTCCATTTCCATTGTAGGCCACCAGTTTAATTTCATACACCACCCCTGGTTCTGAAACAAACACCAACAACAGATCATTTTCAGGTTAGGATTAGCATTTAGCTACTTTCTTCTTTTTTTTTTCAAATGTTGATTTCAATTAAAATGTTTTCAATGATTATTTTATGCAAGACAAACAAGAGTAAAAACATCATCATCTGTTTTGGCGGTGGGTGATGAAAATAAGCAACACGTCTCTAGCTGCTTCCAGAACGAGTTCACAGGAGCGGCCATTTTTAGAATCAGGTTCTGAGCACAAGAGATGGAGGGCTGAGACAAAAATCATCAAATAACTCATCACAACTAAGAATATTAGAAAAATAAATATTTGAACACAGTCGCAAAGTAAGAACAATAAACAAGTCAACACCTGGAATACAAATTTATCTGAGGTTTGTTGTTCCATATCCTAATTTTAAGTTTTTATTACGTGGATTTAAACTTATTCTGCCGTGACCAGTTTACCATAAAAATACTTTAAATCAGTGGTTCCCAAACTTTTTATTTTCTGACCCACAAAATATCCACGGCAAAAACTTGTGACCCCAAATATTACTGGTCTGAGTACACGAACTTTGTTAATAACCCTAAAAACACAGCTTTTTGACAATCTAAACTGCTTTTACACAAATATAAATACTTATTTATACTTATTTTGTGTTTTTGTAATAATTATAGGGAAAATATTACATCAGCAATTATTTTATTACCCTTTAAATTGATTTCTGGAGATTATCCAAGGTGCTTCATGACCCATAATTGGGTCCAAAGCCCAACTTTGGGAACCAAAGTGCASTGGTTCCCAAACTTTTCAGCTTTTGACCCACATAATAACAGTAGCAGAGACCTGTGCTCCCAGATATGATAAATGATAAACATTTGTATCAGGTCAACTAAACATGGGCACAGTAACAATATTTTTATACTACATTTATCCATTTTAAATATACTAACCTCACTCCTTTGTAACAACTAAGGCAAAAATGTCATTAATTCAGAAAATCTTTTCAGGACCCCACCTTGATGTTTCAGGACCCCACTTTGGGTCCCGACCCCAACTTTGGGAAACACTACTTTAAAGTACCGTCTTGACCAGATTCAAACAATTATAAATGATCAGAATAAACTGCAAGCAAATGATTAATCCTAAAATAAAAAAAATTAAATTAAAAAAAATTAAATTTAAAGAAAATTAAAAACTGATATATTGCATTTGATGCAGCAGCTGGGAAAAAAAGTATTTTGTTTATTTCTGAAATAAGAATAATTTAAAGATGGCCTGAAATTTGAACCATGCACAAGAGTTTACAGAAGGCAGCTAGTGAGTGTCAAATTGAACTTGCACTTTAAAATTGGCTTCCGTTAGTTTTTCTATGACATTAGCGCTTTGGAAATTGCGGAGCTAATTTTTGGATTAGCGCTGTCCACCACTGGCTCTAACTGTAAACATATAAAAATACTTTTGGCAGGATTTATGGGAAGAAAACTGTTTTTCTTTTTTGTTGCTTGTTTTTTTAATAACTTGGCACTTGCCAGGCCACCACTGTAAATAAGAATATGTTCTTAATGTTCTGCCCAGTTAAATAAAAGTAAAACAACAACAATAATTAAAAATACGCATTAAGGAGATGATGGTACCAGTTGGTACAATTGGGACCATTGTGGGTCATGTTTCAACTTTGGGGTCTTTCCAGGAAATAAATAGAATTTTAAAATGAGAAAATCACTGCCATGATTGTACCAAGAGATAAAAAGCAAAGTCGTTATATGCAGATAGAGATGGTGTCATTATTTCTGTTATGTTTTGTAGCAATAATAATAAAAAAAACAGTTCATTATGGTAACAAAGCATTTCCATACCAAAAGGCTCTGTTTAAAAGGCCTAACATCAATGTTTGGGTATACAGAGTAAACCAAAGAAACTTTGAGTTGTGAGTCTCTGCCACTTAAAAAGTTTGAGAAACCCAGACCGCTGTCACCAAACGCTGACATACCGAGGCCAGAGATGGTGTGAGCGTTGACATCAGAAGGTAACTCAATCGGCTCCTGGTAATCAGAGTGGGGCACTTTACGGTAGGACAGTCTGAAGCCCTCAGCTTTGCCTGCCTTGCTCGGCAGCTCCCAGAGGACTTGCACAGCACTGGAGTTTAAAACCTTGGTGAAGTATGTAGGTGGGGCTGGGACTGATGAAAGACAACAAAAGAAGATTAAAAAAACAGATTAACAATGATAATTTGGGAGCACATGTTTAATTCTCCATTGGTTTCATGTTCTTACCTCCACCATGTGTTGTAGCCACCACGGTGTTGGACTGCTGACTTGCTCCCATGGAGGAGTAGGCCTTCAGGTACAGAGAGTAGGTGGTGGCTGCCTCCAGGTTGGTCACATCGTGCTGAAACTTGTCCTTACTGATGGCCTCCTGCAGTTCCATACTGTCAGGCTCTAATGAAAACACAACACACACTTATTTAGATAGTTATTATACAAAAACACAACTTCTGTCAATAATAAACAGAGGTCTACTTGAAAAAAAAAACTAAGTAAAAGTAAAAATACCTAAAATGACCGTAGTAAAAATAAATGTCACTGATGAGAATGTCCTGATGCACCAGGTAAAAAAATCAAAAAGAAAATAATTGTATAGGTCTTCTGGACGGGTTCTTCTCTAATGAAACGTTTCGTCTCTCCTCCAAGAGACTTCTTCAGTCTGAGAGTTTCATGTTAAATTCATTGGCTACTTCTGTAAACACCATGCTGAATGTGATGTCACGTCTGTTTCTGCACATGCAGGTAGCTTTAGCGCTAGAATCTGTTGTTAGCAGCCCCGCCCCTTCGTGCTGAGTGACAGCACAGAGGAAGCAGACTGCGAGAGGCGAAAGAGGAAAAGAGAGCTCTTTCTGTTTATTCTAAACCAGGGGTGCCCAAACAGTTTCCCCGAGGGGGCCAAAATGAAAATCTATCCATAGCTGTGGGCCAAATGCAGTTATATAATAC